TGTGGGGAGGGTAGTGTATTTCATGGAGAGTCAGGAAAAGAGGTAAGGTTTGCCCAGCCTCAATTTGGCTCACCAGGGATGATGTCAAGTGACTCCCTGGTGTCCTCTCTAGGTAGCCTGTGTAGGTGTAGCTCACCTGGTAGCACTGTGGGTTGTACCCACCCTAAACAAGAATATAGTGAGGCCCCTTCAAATTCAGGGTTAGAGCATCCATATTCTTTAGGGCATGTGCATTCAGTTAGTAGCCACCCTGTCCTTGTGGGAGACATAGCTAACCTGGGGGGCCCTGCTACTATGGGTTATAGACCAAGCCGCTTGGGTGAGGTTGTACCACACCCACTTGACTCCACCCTTCCGTCCCATACACCGTGTGTTAGTCAGCAATCTGAGAGGCCTGTGAGGCCCGCACAGCTCACATCCGAGTATGATCGTCACCATGTGAGGCCCGTAGATCCTGTAGGGCTCACCTGGGACCCTGCACCCATACAGAGCCAACCTAGACTAGCAGATTTTGGTGCGCCCTCTCTCCCTGGGGATGATTTGCAACCCCGGAGCTCAATGCCATGCACTATATCTGCCCCAGCCCCTGTAAATGTTGGAGTGTCACCAGCAATGGTTCATTCACAAGTAAATGCTTTAGACACTGGTGTGACTGCTGCAAGACCCCACCCTATATCATTGTATGCTAGTTCCTCAAGCACACCTTACCATGGGTCCCAATTAGTGTACATCAATCCTGGGGGTAGGCATGCCCAACCCCCAGTACCCGACCACGCCCATTCTGTGTTGTATCGAGGCGAGAGTACTCCAGCCACACTCCATGGTATGGCTATGCCCAGTGCACTGCAGCACCATAGTGTTCCTGTGTCAATGACTTGTAGTCCTGCCCATCCCAATACCCCAGCCTGCCATTTTGGAAGGGAGGGGGAGAGGATAGCACATGTTCAACCTAACATGTATGGGGCAGCCCATCCGGGATACTATGCTAGTCAGTCAGTCCCGGCTAACCAGGCTTGCAACTTTAGTACACCAATACATTATGGCTCACCTGGTTACCAGGGCACCACACCATACCCAGGTAGGGCAGCCACTGGGGGTAAGCCCCGTTATAAGGACCTTAGGTATGATGGTAAGACCAGCTGGAAGGCATTTTTGCACAAGTTCGTTAGGTTATCTTGCAGCCAGCTATGGACAGAGGAGGAGCAGCACGACCAGTTTTGTTTTTCCCTTGAAGGGGCAGCCAGTGAATACTACACCTTGCTGTTAGAAACCAATAGCCAGCTCCGCCTAGGTGAGATCTTGCAGAGATTTGAGAAGCGTTTTGGCTCCTCTGCCCCCGATCTCACTCATCAACTCAACTTCCAGGCTGCCAATCAGAATCCAGGAGAGTCACTTCCTCAGTGGGCAGACAGGGTGCTGACCTTGGCGACGTGAGCCTTCCCTTGTGTGCCGGACATGCACACACACGCCATACCTAGGCTGTGTTATGGAGCCGAGGACCGAGACGCTGGCCTTTACGCACTCGATGGGCATCCCAGGACTGTGGATGAAGCCATGGAGCGAATGCAGTACTACCAGCACTCCCGGCTACATAGGCCTAAGACCAAGAAAGAGCTGCGGAAGGTGATCTCTGATGAGGATGCCAAACAGGACGATCCCGGGATGGTAAATGTTGCTGCTGGGGAGGAGCTGGAAGCCCTCCGGAGCAGAATGGAAAAGTTGGAACAAGCTGTTAAGCAGACAGGATCTGCCCCCCTCCCTAAACCCCAGTGGACTGGTACCCTGCCACCCAGATTGGCAGAGCGAGACCCGAAGCCCGCTGTGTGTTTTAAGTGTGGAGAGGTGGGGCATTTTCGTAGAGATTGCCCCACCCAAGCTGCTGGGAAGTTAGTAGCTACTGATGGGCCGCGGGGCAGAGCCCGGATGAAGGGACCCCTTGGTGAGAGGTATCGTAGGCCAGAGTCCCAGGAGAGGGGACCTAGAAGTGGAAGGCCTGGATCCCAGGGAGGGCCCTCCCAGGCAGTTCGATTTATGAACCCAGAGCAGTCCCCAGAGAGGACAGACTCGGAGAGTAAGGAGCAGGGGGCTAGCCAACCCCCCTCCTGTATGCGGTGTAGGCGCAAGCGGCGCAGGCTAAGGGTCCGCTTTGAGACACCCCAATCGCCGGAGCTATTCTCAGCTGAGGAGGAAGAGGCATCCTTGGACGAGGAAGTGGGGAAGCTTGTGGCCCCCCACTCCACTCCGGAGCCACTTGGACCAGCTCGGGATAGGACTAGGAAGTTCCAGGGCTTTGGGAGGACCAGGCCTGGTGGCTCTGGTCAGAGGTCACCAGAGGATGAGGGGAATGAGCCCACTATACCTATTGGACAGCTGCGCCCATCTACAGGGTTTTCTGTTAGTTTACTTGTGCAAGGCACACGGGTGAGTGCTGTGGTTGACACGGGGGCTGAGGTCAGTGTTTTGTCGACTCAGGTTTATGACCAGTTAGAGCCCAAGCCCCCGATACGGAGACATGTTACTAGGACTCAGGTGGGTAAGGACACCAAGTTGAAAGGTTTCATAGTGGGACCCATGGCAGTGAGCATAGGTACACAGACTCGCGAGGTTGACCTTTATGTCGCCCCCTTGCAGGAGCCCATGTTGCTGGGCGTGGAGTTTCTTCATGCCCGGAAGGCTCAATTAGATTTAGAGCATGGGACTTTGACCTTGGGAGGGGAGACAATTAAAATGAACTTCGGCAGAGCTGAGGAGATTCCGGAGGCCAGGGTGACTTTGGCCCGGAAGGTACGAGTTCCAGCTGGCTCTGTTGTTCTATGCCCCTGTCGCCTGGATCAGAAGCTGGATGATTTTGTGGTGGTCCCTGGCATTGATATGCAGTCTGATGTGCTTCTTATGCCCCATACATACCATGTGAGAGGGGACAGTGCAGTAATCTGTGTAGTGAACGCTTCAGATCGGGATGTGACCTTGATGGGGGGTAGCCTTGTTGGTACTGCAGTGGAAGCTGATCCACACCAGCCTGTGCCCTACCTGGTGCGGACAGTAGGCAGCCTGGATGACGGGGATCGGGGGGCAGGAGCCACATCCCCTGAGGTGCCTGAATTTCTGCAGGATTTGTTAGAGCGCTCCTCGGTGGAACTCAGTTTAGAAGAGAGGGCCTTGCTGGCCAGTCTGCTCTCAGAATTTCAAGATGTATTTGCTCGGAGTGAGTTTGACTTTGGGAACTTCACCGCATTAGAACACGAGATAGATACCGGAGACGCACCCCCTGTAAAGGAGCGGATGAGACGTACTCCCATGTTCTTTGCTGGTGAGGAGGAATCCCACCTAAAGAAAATGCTGGAGGCTGGTGTGATACAGCCCTCTATGTCTGAATGGGCCTCAGCTCCAGTTCTGATTAGGAAGAAAGACGGTCAGGTTAGATGGTGCCTGGACTACCGCCGTTTGAACAAGGTGACTCGGAAGGATGTATTCCCCCTGCCTTTGATAGATGAGTGCTTGGACACCCTTACAGGGAATGTGTGGTTTTCGAAGCTCGACGCCAACTCTGCCTTCCATCAGATAAAGATCCGTCCCCAGGATAGGAAGAAGACAGCATTTTTGACAAAGTATGGTCTGTTTGAGTTTGTGCGCATGGGGTTTGGTCTATGTAATGCCCCGGCTACCTTTTCTAGGGCGATGAACCTTGTACTCAGAGGCCTCACTTGGAGTATTGTTTTGGCCTTCTTAGATGATGCCCTGGTTTTAGGTCGGGACTTCCTGGATCACCTGGAGAACTTGCGATCTGTGTTCATGCGTTTCCGGGAGTACGACTTAAAGTTTAAGCCGAAGAAATGTGAACTTTTCCAAACCAAGGTTGAATTCCTGGGGCGGCGGGTAAGCAAGGAAGGCATTGAGATGGGAGATGATTACATTGCTGCAGTCAAGGACTGGGCTGTCCCCAGCAATGCAAAGGAGGTAGAGAGGTTCCTTGGGTTTGCTAACTATCACCGGGGATTCATTGCGGGTTATGCTGAGTGGGCACTGCCCCTCTACAAGATCACAGGCAAGAAACCCTTCGTCTGGGGCCCAGAGCAGCAAGCAGCTTTTGATGGTTTAAAGATGGCCCTTACATCTCCGCCTGTCCTGGCCCTCCCCATTCCCGATGGAGAGTTTATACTTGACACCGACGCCTCCAATGAAGGCATAGGGGCCGAACTCTCCCAGTTACAGGATGGCCAGGAGAGACCCATATCTTATGGAAGCCTCAGTCTATCCCCGGAGCAGCGCAAGTACTGCACAACCCAGAAGGAGCTGCTGGCAGTTATCTGCTTTACCCGCCTGTTTCGCCATTACTTGCTGGGGAGGAGATTTATTGTGAGGACGGACCATCATAGTCTTATTTGGCTGCTTAACTTTAGAAACCCCCAGGATCAACTCGCCAGATGGATGGAAGAGCTCAGCCAGTATGACATGGAGATACAGCATCGCCCGGGGCGACGCCATGTCAACGCGGATGCCCTGTCCCGGTTGCCTTCTAGTGCCATCTGTGCTGGAGCTGATGTCACCATACACCCAAGCGACTTACCTTGCGGCGGATGCCCGAAGTGTGTTAAGGCTCACCAGACCTGGAATGTCTTTGCAGAAGAAGTTGACAATGTGGCGCCCCTGGCCAGTCCTGGAAGCTGGATATATATGCCTAGCTCGGGGGTAGAAACTGTGGAGGAGACAGTTTTAGAGTCTGAGGGCAATTCTGAGGAAGCCAGTGACTTGCCCTCTCCCCCGGACCCGCCCAACCTTCAGTTAATGAGGTGGCCTATGGTTATGTTTCTGGGGGATTGTTAGGTCGCATTGGTCATTACTCTCCCCCGGAAGTTGACTTTGAAGATGAGGAGTCAGTAGAGGGGCCCTTCCGGACCCAGATTTGCCTCACTAAGCAACCCCACTTTGTGGCAGTAGTGGGGCCACCCTCTGATGATTCTGGTAGCCCGTTGTCATTTGTGGGTTTGACCCCAGAGGAAATGAGTTTATGCCAGTCAAGGGACTCGGAAATCTGTCAATTTCTTGACTGGTTGGACGATGATGTAGCGCCAGAGGAAGGTGTGATGTTCCTTGCGAGTCCCGCAGTTAAAAACTATTGGCTCCATAGGGCAGCCTTCACCTTAGACCAGGACAAGGTCCTTTGGAAAGAGGTGGGGGAGGGGAGTGTGAAGACTAGACTTTTAGTTGTCCCTGAGGAGTTGAGGAAGGAGGTTCTACGCCTGTGCCATGACGTCCCAGCAGCAGGCCACCAGGGCATTGATAGAACCAAGGCACGCCTGCGTGATAGATTCTTCTGGTATGGCATGATGAGGGAGGCAGAACAGTTCGTGAGCACCTGTGGTCCTTGCAGCAGGAATAAGCATCCTCAGCGCCATGCCCGGGCAGAGATGATTAAGTACCATGCTGGCGCCCCTATGGAGAGAGTCCATCTTGATTTTCTGGGGCCCCTACCCCGGACTAAACAGGGTAATGAATATGTACTTGTCATGGTGGATCAGTTCACTAAGTGGGTGGAGTGTGTCCCTCTGCCCACTCAGACTGCTGAGGCAACAGCTACTGCTGCGGTCGATCAGTTCTTTGCTCGCTTTGGCTGTCCCTTCCAGATCTTCACCGACTAGGGTAGGAACTTTGAAAGTAAGCTCTTCACAGCAGTGTGCGACTTGTTGCAGATCCATAAGGCCCGCACCACTCCTTATCGCCCCTCAGCCAATGGCCAGGTAGAAAGGTATAATAGAACCCTGATGGATGCTGTGCGTTGATATATAGACAAGGCTCAGAACTGCTGGGATGAACATCTCGCCCAGATAGCAGGTGCCTTGCGCTCTGCAGTCAACCGGAACACAGGCTTTACTGCGAACAAGCTGATGTTGGGCAGGGAAGTGAATATCCCTGCTGATCTGATGTATGCCCCACCTCAGAGGGACCCGGCTGTTGACCTTGAAGGCTACGTAGTGAATTTGGAGAAGGCCATCCAGTCAGCTCATGAGACAGCCCGGAGACGTCTCCGGACCTCAGAGGAGCGAATGAAGAGGGACTATGACTTGAAGGTCTGTGCCAGAACTTACCATGAGGGTGACCTAGTTTATGTCCTTGACACAGCTACTGTCAAGGGGAAATCTAGGAAGTTGAGCCCTTCCTGGAAGGGACCAGGTATTATCTTGAAAAAGTTGAGCTCCCACCTTTACTGAGTGAAGACCAAGCTCTCGGTGATGGTTGTCAACCATGATCGCCTGAAAAAGTGTGTAGATCGGGACCTACCGTTATGGCTGTCCCGGTATCAGGAGAAGTTCAGAGCCCAGTCCCAGGAAGGTGGTGAGTTAAGTAGTGTCCCATTGTCCCCAGGGGAGAAAACTCCCTCGAGTGAGGTCCCTGGACCTTCCCAGTTGAGCTCGTCCTCAGACAGCCCTCCCCGTATACCGAGAAAACGGGGGCGCCCACGTAAAGTGCGGTCGCCCTCTACCGAGTCTGCCAAGTCGTCAGATGGGGATCTGACAGACTCTGAGCTCTATTGTTTCTGTCGTAGACCAGACGATGGGGGGCTAATGATTCAATGTGACCAGTGTGACGGTTGGTTCCACGGGGTTTGTGTGGGGGTCACTTCAGAGGAGGCTTCCTCCCTGGATCAGTATATCTGCCCAGATTGTATGGGGGAACCCCGGGTAGCAAACATTGGTGTTGTTTTGGAGCCCCCATCTTGGCCCAGGGTAAGACGGGTTACCCTGGCGGTTTTACAGGAATGGTAAGTGGGTCAGCTGGCTTTGACCCGCTCTAGCGTACCCTGCCAGGCCAGACTCTACCTGGGAATTATCCCAGACTCTAGGGCCTGGAAGTGTTTAATTGGGAGCGATCCCAGACCCCTTTTTCCCAGGAGTTATCTTGGGTGTGTTTTGTCTGGGGCTTGCCCCGGCACTAGTCGTCCCTGGGCAGTCCGCCCGGGTGGGCGTTAACAGCGCCCCATCGTTGGAGATGGTTCCGGACCCTCCCTCGCACTGTGGACTCCCGCCTTTCAAAGAAAACGGGGGGGAGTGTAGTATCTGTGCGACTGTCCCGTGGTAAGACTTACTGACGAGGCTACGTCAGATGGCGGGACAGTCGCACGGACCTCTTTCACCGCCAAGATGTCAAGCACACCAGACGTGGTACAGAGACGGTGAGTCAGCACGGGCCATAACCCACTCCAGAGTGTATTTGTATATTTGTAAATAGTGATAATAAATATATTGTATAAGTACTACACCTCCGGTAGTTACTTTAGTATTGAAGAGAAAATGTGTTCAATTCTGTATGAACTTATTAGAGGGTCAGAGGTCATGGCGTGACCGAATCACACAGCGAGATGATATCTTGTCTACATATTTCTGTCACGGTGACACTCGTTTCGGAACTTCTAAGCCGTTAAAGCGATGAAAAAGATAAAATTATTGAAACATATGTTTTTCTTCGTTCAACAAATGATCATTAGTTCTTTCTTCGGTGTGAAGAATGTTTTTAATTAGCCTAAAATCACGCTTACCTTTTTAACCCAATATTCAAATGTTGGAGCGAGGTGAACTCTCAAGACCAAACAGCTTCTAGGTCATTGCGCGTCACAACGTAGCAATACGGCGGGCCGTTCGTGTAATAAATGCAGTTCGTGTAATAAATGCAGTTCTTTTCAGAATATTCGTCTCAAATGTAAATAAAAGTAATAAACAACAATGTTAAAAAGTTCTCTGGGAAATGAACTTGGTTGGAACGTGATCAAATCTTCTGAGAACCCCTTCGGGCTTCACAGGATTTGATCACGTGACCAACCAAGTTCATTTCCCCAGAGAACTTTTTAACATTGTTGTTTATTTCTTAAATGACTTGAAGCAGACCCATTTTGTTTTTTTAGGTCCAAAGGTAAAAAAAATCGTATCTTGCATGAAATAGTTTCCTGGTGTTAACTCTAGTTCTCTTTAAATTTTTGGGTTTTCAATGACGACATAAAAAAGATTCCTATTGATTTTGAGATCAAAAGGTCAAAGACCAAGATCAGAAATATATTTATTGCCTGAATACTTCAGTTCTCTGTAAGCTTTTGCAATGAAACTTCAGGTCATGAATTTCTTTATTCTAAAAAGACCCTCATTGATGTAAAGGTCAACAGCTTGACTGTCAAGGTTGACCTTTTTTGTTCCTCCATGCATCTGCATATTTTTTTTTTCAGTTTTTCCAACCTCTTTTTTTTTCTTAAGCAGGATTACAAATTCTCTGAAATAGCTTGCTACTACAACAATTCTTGCTTTGAGAACTAGTGAGCTAGTTTACTAGAATGTTGGAAGAATGTATTGATGTAGAAGTCGGTACATGCATGTCTAAAAGTATAGATCAATATTTTAAATAAATAAAAAAGAACTTATCCCCCTTCGCTGCAGATGATTAAGGTTCATGTTGCAATACTCAAATATTCATGCTTGATTCTGAAATTGGTCGTTTAAAATAGGTTCAATAAATATGTTGTTAGTTTTTATCTCATTTTTGCATTCTTCCTTGGATGTTTAAGTGCAGTTTTAAGTTATATAACAAACATTTTTTTTAAATTGTTGGAGAAGTTAGTTAATTCGACAGTGAAGCACCCTAGGATTAATCCAACAGGTTCTGGAATTTTCAGCAAAAGTAAATTGTATTCACTTCGTAAGGTTGCTGAATTAAACAATTTATTCTACTATTATTTTCATGCGTCACCATTTCTATGACCAAGGAGAATGAATTTTGATATGTTCGTATGTCATCCTTCCATTCCTCAATCTATCTGTTTATCCACCCACTTTGTTGAAACAGCATCGACATTTAGATTTTTAAATTAACAATATCCTTTGAGCTCAACTGAGCTGAAAGTTCAAGTGAGATTTTCTGATCACCCTTTGTCCAACGTCTGTCAATTCATCAAATTCTTTAAAAATCTTATTCTCAAGAACCCCCTCCGCCTTTAGCACTAGAAAAGATGAAGCATCTTCCAGACTTAGTTAAGATTCTACATTGTTCAACGTATGGCCCCATGGGTAGAGTGGGACCGTAATTGGGGATCAAAGTATATATGAAACATTCTTTAAAAATCTTTTGAAGAACCACTGGACTGGAAAAGATGGAACATGTGTAAACTTCCTGACAAACATGTATTGTAGATTCTAAATTGTGTAAATCGTGTCCCCGGGGGTAGGGTGGGACCACAATAGAGGATCAAAGTTTTACATTGGAATATATATGGGAAAAATATCACATATTGTCTCAAGAATCATTATAGAACCATTAATTATCAGTTTCAAGTTGTGTGGATTCAATCTTTTTTTCTTTTTTTCAAATTATAGAACCCCAGTTAGAGATGGCTGAAATTTGGATCAAATGTTAGGTCATGCTTGTATACAGGAAAAGAATTTCCTTCTCAACACACATTCTCCTAAATACAAGGCCAAGATATTGAAGCATCCCCATGCTGTTTGGAGTGGATTCAGAGTCCCCTTCGAGTTAGAGTGGGGTCATAATATGAGGTTACAACGTTTCATGGAAGTATAAAAGAGAAAATTTTTAATACAAGCAAGGCTAAAATTCTCAGCTTAGTGTTGTGGCCCACGGGCCTATTGTTTCTTTTATATGTTGACTCGATATATCCTAAGGAACTCGCCATAAAAAAAATAACCGCAGAGTTTTCCACATCTGTTTCATATTTGGATGTTTTTCTGCAATAGTCAACTAACGACTAAACTTCTAGTGTCTGACAAACGGGATGACTAGCTTTTCCATCGCCAGCTCCCCCTTTCTTAAGTAATATTTTACTATCTTCTGCATATGATATTAATGTCTCCCGAATAATTCGGTACGCGAGAGCATGTCCCGAATATAAACATTTCCTTTTGAAATCGTGGCAGGATACGGATAAATAAGATGATGTTAGAAGACTTTCTTCAATCTCCCTTAATGCAGCATTTTGCAAAGTCTGTGGTTCGATATAAGTACATTTTTGCAAATACAGCTTTTTTGGGTCGTATTTTTCATCGTTTAGGCCCTTTATTCGAATAGGTGATATCACTTATTCAATTTGAATGAGTGATATCACCTATTCAATTTGAATGAGTGATATCACCTATTCGAATAGGTGATATCACCTATTCGAATAGGTGATATCACTTATTCGAATAGGTGATATCACTTATTCCTTTTGAATAGGTGATATCACTTATTCGAATAGGTGATATCACCTATTCAAATCAAATAGGTGATATCACCTATTCGAATAGGTGATATCACTTATTCGAATAGGTGATATCACTTAATCATTTTGAATAGGTGATATCACTTATTCGAATAGGTGATATCACCTATTCAAATTATTTATGAAATAACAACTGCTCCCAAGACTATAGCCTTTAATTCTCATTTACTTTCACTTTCGTTTTATAACTTACCATTCTTGCAGACAATGGATTACAGCTTCGCATTTAGTTTTAAGCAGCCCAGTAGAATTTGTAGTTTGTTTTGCTCACAAATTATATTTATTACACTTATCTATCATGTATACTATAGGAAAATTCAAAGGGTCTGTAAGTCTCGTTGACTTTCACTTTCGTTTTATAACTCCCGGGTACCTGAGCGTTCTTGGAGACAATGGATTACTTAAGTTGTAAGCATCGCAGTGGAATTATTAAACTTGTAGTTTGTTTTGATTCCCGATTGTTGCAAAGAAGAGGAGAAAATGGATTGAGAGATGCAGGTAAATAGCGTTTAATTGCTTTATTTTTTCATTACATAACGTAAACACAAGCTATTCCGAGGGGGCCAAGATTAGCCAACATACTTAAGCATAAAGGGAAAATTATATCGTTTTTATTCTAAAATCGTCTGTATTCAAAAGGTACGCTTATCTACAGATTGGTTTCATAAATTTAAAGCATTGATTTAGCTTACAATATGGTATAATTTGGAGTATTGGACAGGTATACATGAGATTGGGATATTGAATGCGATGTCATTGAAAGCAAATAAAAAAAATAGATGTACCCAAATGCATCGACCATGGGAATACAAAGTTGAATACCACGTCGATAACATATGATCTTTGTAGAAAACACATTTTTTTTAAATTTAATTACTACAATAAATAAAAATGGTCAGCTCAAAATTGGTCATTCTGTAGGCTACCCTGTCTATTCAGAAATAAAAATGGTCACATACACTCAAAAAATAATTATTTTTTATTCTACAAAGAAGAAGGCATTTTTTTCGTTTACACATACAAACTGTATTAACTGCAAAGTTTCATGACCACCCCCCCCCCCTTTTCCAATACTTCTACAATTATGAGACAGACTTTTTTTTTTCTTGAAATAGGCATTTTTCTCCATTTGTCATAACATATTACAGGGCTGCACAAGGTACTGAAAAAGGGACAGCGCTTTGAGTGAATGCGTTATCCATGTATCTGCAAATGAAGCAGATCCCCCAGTTATACTCATGGAGAGTGTAACAACTTCCAACTTGTTAATGACGGAACTCCATTTAAATCAGGTACAAGTTAAAGTTTAGGCTGCACAATTCTTTATTACAATATTCAAAACTTAATAATTCAGGATCAAGTTCACACAAGCTCACATTCCATGGTTACTTACAACACCATTATGCAAGATAAATTTGTTATACACTTTCATGTTAAATAGTCAAATTTGATTGGTTTAAAAAACATTTGTTAACAAGTACTATTACCATACTGCATGCCAGACATTACATCCCAATGGTTGAAAATGCATGACTACGGGTAACAGTATATATAGTAATAAAAAATGTTAACTGTGCAGAATGTTTGCACGTTCGTTTCACCTTGATGTTTTCTTTAAAATGCATTCTATAACAAGAAAAATATTACCTGTTTATTTTGGGTGATGGGAAATTCTTACCCCTTAAAAACCATTGCTGACCGAGGCGAGGTCAGCGATGTTTTTTGTGGTATAACAATTTCACGTTATCCTACTAAACATGTAATATTTTCATGTTATATGTACTTCTATTTGTAAATGTTAATGACTGTGAAAAACATAAATATTTATAAATTAGTAAAATCAATTTAATACACTATGAATACACAAAAGGACAAATTTGTACATAATTCTCTATGATTTGGTTAATTAGTTTATATAAAGGATGTAAATGGACATGACATATCATTGTTAATATTCAAGAAAGTGTTCACTGTTTTTCTTGTAGATGCTCCTTTCCATCTGATGTTTTCCAGGTTTTTGTGAAAAGTTTTCTTAAAAAATGGCACAATTCAACTACAAATACTATGCCAGTGGAACTGTGATATCAATCAACTGCTTATGACACTATTAATTGGCAGAGAATTTATTTTTTTTTATTTGGGACAAGCAATCTGTTTCAAACATTTTATACCTGCAAATTGGTACATGTACTTCATGAAATGCTTGAAGGATGCTAAAGGCTACTGAAATTCCAAGCCAGATGAAATTCAAAAGGATTGATACAAAAGTCATTTGAAGTTTTCTATTCTTAGTGATGAGTGTTTTTCAGGATGCCCTCTGATATCATAGGTACAACTGGTCACTGTCCTTTGTTAGGTACACATGCAGACAACTTATTAAGGCAGTGATATAAGTAGCTCGAAGTGATGCTTTATTGTTTTCCTCAGATTTATAACCTGGATTGATCTCTGATGCAGTAATTTAAAGCCATGTCTTTTCACTGTCACAAAGTACTGAAATAAAAATAATTTTGATTAAAATATTTCTTTTAATTCACATCATTAAATTTTTAAGCTACAGAAATTCATATTAATTACCTATTAGTAAATAGAAATCTTTAATTGATTAGCAAGCCTTTGCATTGTCAGATCCTTTTCTGAAAGGGTCATTTACCTTTAACAATGTCAGGACAGGTGAGGCAACTGGCTGGTCTTCATGCTGGAAGTGTGTGTTAACTCTGTAATCTTTTTAAACAAAACCATCCAGTGATGTCCTAAGATTGCCAGATGAGCAGACATATACCTGTATTTAAGAAAGATTCTGTAACATGACATAGAATTTTTGAACATCTTGACGCACAACTGATGGTATCTTAGGTGCCTGCAAAATAATAAATCTGGCACATATTTATTTATTTGATACAAATCAGAACAAAATTTGTCCTTTTACAGAACAAATTATTTTCATTTTAAAGAAAAGAGAAATGCGTATGTACTGTTTTAATACATATAACCTGTATTATTGGATATTTTCACCCCATTCTAATTTTTAAAATATTCACTCTTTCACCCTTGAAAACAATTTTGCCCTTTTAAAATTTGATCAGACACATTTGTGTTTAAAAGATATATGCTGCCTTCTTCGAATTTGTCCCGTTTTAAATTCACCTACTTGTAAGGAGGGCAGAATGAGAAAAATAAAACTTAACTGGGGCGAAAAATTTCCAGAATAAAGTACCATTACTTGCCTGCCTGTTGTACTATAACTCGATCCTCCAACCTTACAATATTCTATAATCATTGCTTTCATGCGATACCCCCCAGTGGATTGATGGTCTCTTTTCCAAATTATATGCACTTTCTAAAAAGAATGAATTTGTCAATTTATAAAATTTAGTATTACAAGTTAATAAAGACAGTAAAACAATGTTAACAACATTTATATGCAAATGAACCTCTGTACAAATCACTTATAAATGATTGACAACTTGTATGGAATATATCAAATACCCTTAATTTTGACATTTGGAAACCCAGCGTTAAGGCCAAACTAAAAATATGTGTGGTTCTGGTTACACCTCCAAAAAAAATAGGGAAGGTGGATAGGGATTTTTTTTTTTTTTTTTTTTTTTTTTTTTTTAACAAAATGATTTTCTAAATTTTTCCAAATAATACCCATTTCTTTTCGTTAGCATAAGTGAACTATTTTATGTGTAGAGTGTTAGATATGTTTTCTCTTAAGCATATGGATTAGATATGTGCTTTAATGTGTGAATAAAATGTCTTGGGTATTTAAACAGTTGTTTGCTGATTCTATTCATTCGAGTTCATACTCATCCAGAAAATACAATGTTTGAAGAAAATCAGCATGAGCAAATTGAATTATTTAACTGTTATTTGGATATTATATTTTCTTTTTTTAGAATGTTAAGTTTTTACGAAGATGGTAAGTGCTGTCCTTGTTTTTAAAGGATGATATTAATTTCAGAATTGTATATTATAAGTAAAATTAATGGATATCTTAAGCATTATACATTAAATCTTAAATATAGATCATGATTTCTCCATCGGAATCTGCTGCGGAAGTCTTAAACTTTATACATGATGTACAGGTATATAAAATCTAAAATTGTATATTATAGAATGCGAAAAAACAGAAATATTTTGTGAAGAGCTGAGTATATAAATCATAACTAATAAATGTTTTGTTTATTTTGAATTCAGTCTTTTCCAACTATGGTTCAGAAAAGAAATGCTTTATTTGTGGATGAACAGAGTGAAGGAGAAAATAAGTGGCATTTCGATGTGGCGTGAAATATACTAGTCAACATTGGTAGGGGGCACCCTAGTTATGAATATGAAACAAATATTTTTAAATCAACAAGATGTGTTTGTGAAACACTGATGCCCCCATATGGCATCTTATGGCGAAGGTTAAAGTTTCTCAAATGCAAGTCAAAATCCAGGCCAAAAGATAAAAAATGTTAAATTTGAAAGCCCTAGCTGCAACTGTTCAAAAGTTATGGCAAAGGTTAAAGTTTTTTAAAAGTAAGTAAAACATCACGGTCAAGGTCAAAGTTGTTGGTATCCAAAGAAAGGTCTTGTTACAAGGATTACACATGTGAAGTATGAAAGCCCTAGCTCCAACCGTTCAAAAGTTATAGCCAAGGTTAAAGTTTTTCAAAAGTAGGTCAAACTCTAAGGTCAAGGTCAAAAGGTCATAGTTGTTGGTATTCAAAGAAAGGCCTTGTCACAAAGAATACACATGTGAAGTTCGAAACCCCAAGCACCAACTGTTCAGAAGTTATGGTCAAGGTTAAAGTCTCTCTGAATTTTGCAAAAGTGGGTCAAACTCCAACGTCAAGGTCAAAAGGTCAAATATGATGGTACCCAAAGAAAGGTCTTGTCACAAAGAATACACATGTGAAATATGAAAGTCATAGCTCCAACCATTCAAAAGTTATGGGCAAGGTTAAAATTGACAACAGACAGATAGACAAACAGACAAACAGACAGACAGGACAAAAACAATATACCCTCGGGATCTTTCGATCCAGGGGCATAAAAATAATGAAAACACAATCTTTTCTTTTTGTAAAAAATAAAGTCCAAGGTGAACATCCTTTTGTTTAAAATCAGTGTTTATAAATGAAATTAATTACTTTTATCCAGAATAGTTCTTATTTTACTTAATAATAAATTTTGAACGATAAACTTTTAAGAGCTGTCAGAGGAAAAGAATGTGACACCTATACTTTGTACAGTAATGTTTAAAACAAAATAAATCACCTAAGCAAGATGACATAGAATGATTCAAATTCGTCAGAATTACAAATATTTATTATTATTAAAATTTTAAATCCTTTCATGAAACCTTTTTGCCTCATTGAAGACTTCATACTTCCAAGCTCATTTCTCATATATATTGGTGTTTTGCAAGTTGACTTTATTCAGGTGAAATCAGCAGTCTTCTTTTTTACGTTTCTTCATGAACTGTTTTTTTTTTTCTACTTTCGGTTTAAAAGAAACGATCCTGATATAAATTATTTAATAATTTACAAGTTAATCTATCTTACACATAGATTAACTTGCATAATTCTTGCATAATCAATGCAATCAAATAAATGTTTTCTCATGTTATCTTCCCTCTAACTCCAAAAAACGTTACCTGGCCAGCTGTCTGTGTGCTTTCAAGCGAGAAGTGATTTCCTATCCTGACTTCACACCTTTGCGTGCATTAATAATAAAGGGACTAATCAACATGCACTTGTTATAAACCAGCTGTAAACAGAGCAACTAATTGAATCTCGCCACTCTTGGGCATATTTATTTAATTTTGGCAACCAAAACACAAACAAACAAAAAACATGGCGCTGGAAAAAGGTATACTGCTGCGCCATGCTAGCTTGCTTTAGATTTAACACCATCAAACACTTGCACTACGTGTTGAAACGATTTTTGCATGGAGGTCGCCATTGCTGGAACTAAAACTAATACCGAAGTGGATGATGGAAATCACGGAAAATTCCGGAAAATAAATATGAAAATTGCCAGAAAAAAGTTAAGGGTTGGGGATCTAAAATAGGGACGGTCGGGTAACGGGAACCACACATATTTTTTTATTTGGCCTAATAATATTCCATACATGATTGAGCTGTCACCTGATGAACCTTTAATTCTTTTCTATTTTTTATATGCTTTATACGTATATGAATTATAAGAGTAAATGTAAGTCCAAAAACTTATTTTGTGACATCAATTTCATACCTGTATTTGAGTTGCCTTTTTGAGGATATACCAGGTAGATTATTCAAAGTCGATGTACATGTAGTCTTACATGCTGCAGTTCTCTTGTACTTTAGCTATAAAATAAATTTTAATGTATACAATTGTGTAAGATGAAAGAATATTTCAAACACTGAAACAGACTGAAACCTTAACAGACCAAAACTTTAACCAAAATATCCTCTTTAACATGCTTTCTAAACTGAAGAGTATGGTCATATAATTGCAGTCCTATGAATTTTGTTCAATGATAAATGCAGAGAGAATTTGCAGAATATATAAAGAAAGTCTTATCGTTGGGAAATAAGCAGGTCCAGTACAATCTCTTAATTTAGCTATATAGCTTGAAATAGCTATATAGCTTTATTAAGCTATTCAAAATAGCTTAATTTGGCTATTTATATGCAGTTTTTCACAAAAATTATTTTGGTAAGAAATAGACAAAAAGTCGCATGTATTTGACCATTCATATATGTGCTATGGGCTATCGAAACAACAAGCAAAATCAAAGATATCTCCAACTTTGCAACTTTTGAATACTTTTAAGCAAAAGATAAATTTCTATTATTTGAGTAACTGTCCACTACCTTGTGTGCATTGAGGCATGGATAAGTATGATTGCTTCTCATTGTACTGAATTATTACCAATCAATTATCTTCTTGACCATAATTGGCCTCCTTTATAATTTCATTGAAGAAGTAACTGTATCAATTGCGCATGTAGCCTAAAAACTTTTAGAACTTTGAGTACAAAGTCTCTTTTGTTTCTATTTTCCTAATTATCTCCCCTTGTTTAAGGGTCACAACCCTAGTTTTAGTATAAACGGAAGCCCTTGGCCCAAGGATACCCTGTGACAAATTTGACAATAATTGGCCAAAGGGTTCTTGAGTTATGGCCCATATTCTAAAAAGTTTACGCACACCGCACAAATGGCCATAGCATTAGCTCTTTGGGCCTTTGGCTCAGAAGAGCTAAAAATGAACCTCTTACATTGATTTTTGGTTGATATTTTTTACAGTTTTTTATGAACAATGTACAGTATTTTCACCCAAATTCCAGTATTTTGAGGACTGCTGTACAGTATTTGGGCCTAAAAATTATTACGTGAATGCAAGGAGATTTTAATGAGTGAGTTTTATAATGCATCAATTTCAGATGAGTTCAAGGTTGAGTATCATCACTGCACCAAGGTGCGACTTTTTGTGCATGCTGAGAAAAGTACACATTTAAGAAAAACTGATATGAAATAGCTAAATTAAGCTATTCTGAATATAGTTAGAATAATCTAACTGTGTCTCGGGACAAGCCCTCACCACAGTTAGAATACGTCCCATATACTTGCAATGTAGCAAATCGGAGTGGATCCACTCCGAAATGATTTTGAAGAATACAAAAGGAGTTGCATTGAAAATAACTACCAAATTAATCATAACAAACATTTTTGAGATTGTATATGCCTTTTAACCTACAAATTAATCCATATATATACGAAAATTCAACTCATTTTCTCAACGTTTTTTCCTCGCTTCAAATTTAACGCCATGTTGACATTCGGAACTCTCTGGATTCTTCATACAAAATGCAGAGAATTCGAGTTATCGCCCGTGTTTATTTTGCTACATTGCGAATACACGGAACAAATTCTATCGTTAAACCGGGTCCGTAGGACAATATCATTTTAACGATAGAACGTTCTATCTATTCTGAATAGCTTAATAAAGCTATATAGCTAAATCAAAAGATTGTACTGGACCTGATAAGTGCTTTCAAACATTGAATACTTATAAAACTAGACCCACTGACATGCAACAGCTTAATTTCTGTTGATAAATGAAGCGTATTCTGAACAAATTATTTACCCAAACAAAGGTGATGCTGTCACAAGATGACGTTCGTACCCATCTTACACTTACACTACTCCTCCTTAATCAGCTGGTAATAACATCATTATCCTCGATTTCAAGAAAAATCTGTTAATAAATTAGTTGTAATGATGATAACAAAACTATTCTAATCAGATACAAATGTATAATATAAGACTTCTATTTCACCCAAGAATACCCAAGAAACAGGTGACATTCTCTGACTTGTTTACCTGTACTTCGATTGAAATTCTCCTACTTGCTCGCACCCAAGCTTTCACGACCCTCAATTTATCCATCGTAAGTCGGAGAACCCTTCGGCTTTGTACAACTGCTTAACTTTCCTTATACGCTTTGTGTAAACCATAAACATGCATAACGCAATACACATCTTGCATCTCGGATCTCCATGTGTGAGGTACCCGGAAGTTAATATTATCGAAAAATCTCGCGAGTCACGTGACGAGACTTACAGACCCTAATGCAGCCCGAATTTGCTTGGTTCCAATGAAAATGTAGATAACCTTGAGGAAGGGAGCATTCATTATTTATTGTTGTAAGAAATGCAAATAGGTGATATCACCTATTCGAATTGGTGATATCACCTATTCAAATTGAATAGGTGATATCACTTATTCGAATAGGTGATATCACCTATTCAGCACGAATAGGTGATATCACCTATTCGAATAGGTGATATCACCTATTCATTTCGAATAGGTGATATCACCTATTCGAATAAGTGATATCACCTATTCGAATAAGTGATATCACCAATTCGAATAAGTGATATCACCTATTCGAATAGGTGATATCACCTATTCAATTTGAATAGGTGATATCACTTATTCGAATAGGTGATATCACCTATTCGAATAGGTGATATCACCTATTCGAATAGGTGATATCACTTTTTGGCAGTAAATACCAAAACGGCGCCTCATAGACATCGGACAACATGTGATCTGAAAAGCTCACATGAGCTTAAAGCTAGAGTGATCTAAAAGTCTTTTCGAAGAAAGGATATTCATTGTGATTAAATGATTACATCTATTTTTCTTTTTAAGTTAAGTATAGTAATGATTCTACAATTTTTCAAATATACATTTAATGTTGCGGGAAGGGGGATTCAATAAAAGTTTTACATAAGTATTTAAGTAAGACTGTGAAGAAAAGCAGTATTGAAATTATTTTAACTGATATAAAAGCATCTCCAGCTAGTGTAAGTCAATATAGTTTGTTATTTTGATCATGTTATCGTATGATATGAGGACAACAATGTAGAACTGCGGATGTGAGATGTTTCCTTGAACTAAGCTACATGTAAGAGTAAGCAATATTTATTTTATTTTTTAATACACTTGGCTCAAGACTTTTATTTATTTTTTTTTCCCCTGTTCTAGTTTAAGGATGTTTATATTCCCGATTTTTTTTATATTGTTAAACATGTTTTAGAAAAGAAGTTTATGGGAACAGCATACAGCATATTGTAATTTTCTTTCGTTCAATCAATATTCCATATATTTCATACCGTTTATTAAAAAAGTTTAGTTATTATACCGAATTAATAGCAAAAGTATGCATTAAGTTCATAAACCATGTAACTTAAAAATTATTTTGTTCAGAAAATTTTGATTTTTTGATATGTGATGCGAATATGCAATGATGACACCTTCTTAAAGGATGGATATAATTGGTTTACCAAATTCTCTTTATCTCTTTTCCCACGTTTGGCTTTCTATAAAGCATTTTAGATAATTACTAAGTTTTTTTTAAGTGGAATCAAATACAATTCATTTATTTTAAAACAGTGTGTGTATTATGGGTCTAATTTACTTTGATAAAGCAATGTGTGCAGATTGTAATTATTATATGATCTATTCATGATTGTGGCATCAGAAACTATTATCGAGACAAGAAAACCTTGAGTGTATTTATTGCTAAACATGTAACAGAGAATTATAGGTATTAGACTAGAAAAGAAACAGGGTGTAAAAGTAGTCAAGATATTCCATTAACCGACTAATAAACATAAATCATCATCATAAGGGATTCATAAAAATATATAAATCAAATTTAATTTGAGCCATGAGAGGTTCTAAGTAGAATACCAAAGGTTAAAAAAGCATATGATATAAATTTATACCCCGTAAGGGGGACCACATCCACCTCACCTAAAAGATAAAAAAAAGTTTCAACCCAATAGTTCCTTAAAATGTACAAATTTAGTGTTGTCCTAGCCGTAAAAATAGGTCTGTGTAACCGGGTGTCCTCTGAATTCTTCCAAGTAAAGCTTAAAGTAAGTCACTCGTCAGCTTTTCAACGAAAATTACTTCGTTAATAGAAATATGTGGAGATAACGAACAGTATTCGAGCTCAAAAGTCCATTAAACATTACAAAATAGGAGCAGAGAAAACACGGACCTCTAAGACATCAGAGGTGGGATCAGGTGCCATGGGGGAGTGAGCATCCCCTGCCGACCGGTGTCGCATAATATTCGGTCCGCCTCGTTTAAAGGTCCGGGGGGACCTAATACGATAACATATAAGGTCCGGCTTTTATAAGAAAAGGTCCGGTCCGTATAAGAAAAGGTCCGCCTAAGTTTAAAGGTCCGGGTGGTGCAAAATGTTTTAATCTTGACTTAAACACATAAAATTATAGAGAGTTTGTTTTCATATGAAGAAAGATTAAGGATTTACCCTCAGGCTAGCTGTTGTGTTTATTTTTTTGGACAATATATCTCTTAGGGCAGGAATTGCTACTCCATGTTTAGTGTGCTTTTAGCAATGCCGTTTAGGGCAATGATTTTTTTTTTAAAAAATGTCGCATTTATTTGGCTTGTGTTTGTTTTTTCCCAGCATTTGCTTTGTGTAAATTAGGACGATTAAAGGTGTGAAATCTGCCGGTGTGTATAGGCAATAAAACAATGGGGGTGTGAAGTATTCATATACCTGACAGGTACCCGCAGATAGAGCCCGCGGCAGATAGCAATGACAATGTTTTGCTTTAAATCAATAGATATGAATTCTCTATTTTAATAAATTATGCCGAAGAACAAATTATAATACTATTATGATATTCATGCGTACACATCAAAATTGTGATATATATAATTATATATAGTCTATTTTTAATACAATATTTAAAGAAATTTCTTATTCCAAGTGTAGAGTTTAATACTAAGACCGATAAAAAATAAAAGTATGTATATGCTTCCCTTTAGTTTTAACAATTAACTTGTTTTCAGTTTATAATCATATTTTGGCCCTTTATTTGTGGATAGGGTAATATATAGCCTAATGTTGTATTCGATCTATATTTACTGCAGAAACAAAATACATGTACATGTAATGTTAAAGCTTAAAACAGGTAACTCAATGTTGAAAACATATACATCAGATTTAAAGTATACCGGTAATCATGGTTTGGATTTAATTCTTTCTTATAAACATATCACTCTTCCTCGTCATAATGAACTACACATGAAATAATGTTTGTAATTTTTTTTTGCCAAAAGAAAAAAAAGAAAGAAAAAGAAATTACACATGCATTTTACTGTGACTATAATACCATACTGTGGGATAATCTAGCAGGCTGTACTGCATGACCGATTAAAATTTGAAATCGTTATTGTAAAATATTTTCTTTTATTACCGACATGAAGCATTTTGGGCAAAGTTGAATGTCCAGTTCTATATACAAGTCATTTATGTATCTCACGTCTGTATGAACGGGGGAAGAGGGAAGGAACATCAGTTGATCCTCTTCCTTTTTTTGCGTATCAAGGAATTTCTATTTTCTACATTAATTTGTGCAATAACCCAATGATTATTTATTTTATTCATTTATGGAAAGTGGCAACTCACGGTTATCCGGAGAAAAAAGGTAATTCATCGGGTTTTCCATCATGAGAGTCCAAGCTCCAGACAGCTCAGTATTACGTTACGCTACAACTCCATACCAAGTAGTCCCGGAGAATTGACACTGTATGGAGAATGACTGAGAGTCATACTCCATACTCTCCGGGACTTCTTTCCCTACGAATAATGATATGGAGTAATACCGAGCTGTCTGGAACTTGATTGAGAGTGATCTCCCGTGTAGAATTTTCTACGCGGTGAAAACCAATAAAGTGTATTGTTTAGTACCACTACACTTGCTCAAGAGTTTTTGAAAAATTCTTTACGAAAGCTAGGAACTTTGCCAATGTCATTAAATTATCCTTTTCGAAGTCCTCAGTCATTCTCCGTGGTAACCATGGAGGAAATAACACAATCGGTCTCATTTAGTCATGACAGAATTTTTGAAGTTCGACTTTCATAAATGCTATACATTGCACATATGTTGTTTGTTGTTTCGGATATTACCTAACAATTTTGAATAATGATTATACAGGCGCGGATCAAGAATTTTTTTTCCGGGGGGGGGGGGGGTTCCATCCCAGTCAAAAAAATTTCTAACCCCAAAATTTCTTGACAAGGAAGAAAAAAAAACGTAAAATCCATTTCCCAAACGTGAAAAACACCTATTTCGTGGTGGTGATGATGGGGTCCACGTTTTTAAGGGGGTCCAAAGTAATTTTTTTTATTTACTGCAGTATATACTTTTAATAACTCTGCAAATTCCGGATGGGGGGTCCCCCGACCCCCCCCCCCCAGATCCGCGCATGTTATATGAATAATTTCGGTATTGGCTGGAGTGAGGAACAGGGGGAGGGGGTGGCAATAACATCTTCTTTATATTTCCATCTGCTCCTTGCGTATCAGGTACACTGTACATAGAAAATAAACACCAACTTCAATTAATCTAATCTGATGTATTACAGATTTCTTGTTACTTGTCACACAAGGCATTTACCACCTACATTATGTACGTAGTGTTGATGACCCCCTTTCTTATTTTTAAGGTGATTATTTTCCCAATTCATTGTATGAATACAGAAAAAATACCCCCTCTTTTTCATGCTATATGAACCAAAGTCTATAGATACGGATACAGTACAACTAATGATCATTCTAACATAACATTTTTGTGATATACATGGATAATAAATCTGACCTCATATCCTTTGATTGTATGTGGCGAATAT